TGGGTACCAGAGACAATTTGGCCTTAAATAAAGGTAAAGCATGGGACCAGTAATCAAGAAACCTAACGATGTATTTCTTACATTGGGTGTTTGAAGTCTGACCAAGCAAAGCTGTCCCTTTGAAGACTAAAGGGCACCAGACCCAAGACACGATCTTTTCAATCTCTTCTTAAACACAGAAAAGCTAGATAATATAAAACAGAGATAGAAGAACTGAGCTAGCTGAGTGGGGGTGTAAACAATAGTGGGTGTGTGGATTGAGCTGCAGATTGCCAAAGAACAAACAGATCGGCTTAAGAAGAACCAGAGAATTTTCTAGAAATGAGAATGGTGGGAATTTGACTTGCCTCTTTTGGGCATGTCATCAGAAAAGACTAGTTTCTAACAGAAAACATGGGGGAAGGGAGACAGCGGTCGGTGTGAGAGATGAAAATAATAACAATGTACAATCTATCAGGGGCTTGCGAGGTGGGGGTGGGGGTGGGGGGAAGAAGAGCTCATACCAAGGGCTCAATAGAAAGTGAATGTCTAGAAAAGAATGAGGGCAACATATGTACAAACATGCCTGATTCAATTGATGTATGGATTGTGATAAGAGTTGTACGAGCCCCCAATAAAATGATTTTTTTAAAAAAAGACTAGTTTCTAGAAAAGGCTCAGGTTTCATGAAGTAGAGGGATCTCAAAAGCGAGGGAAACCCATGCAGCAATGGACACACGCATTCTGATGAGCAGTGGGTTACGGAGAGTCAGAGCTTGACTCTGGGGAAATGAACAATAGCAACAACTAAAGGAGGTGGCCCTTGATAAACAAAGAACATTTTGTCATGGACTTTTAATGACCTTTTCATTGTGAAGGCGTTCTGTTGGGCTGCTAACCTCAAGATTGGTGGTTCAAACCCATAAGCTGTTCCTCCAGAGAAAGATTAAGCTACCTGCTCCTATAAAGATTTATAGTCACAGAAAATATAAAGGTCAACTCTGAGTCAGAATACCAGGGCCCCTGGAGGCAGGGTGGCCTGCAGACATAGCCACAAGTTCAGCAGCTGGAACCCCTCAGCGGGCTTCATGGGAGAAAGATGAGGCAGCCTACTCCTGGATAGTCAGTCTTGGAAACCCACAGAATTGACTCTGTGGCAGTGAGTTTGAGTTTTTGAGTTCTGATAGGATGTGCTTGGCCACCCAAATTTCTTGGGTCTGGTATATGAGTATTCTGTCATTACAGAGATGATATCTTTGACTTTTATTCGCATGTATTAATGTTGTTCTTTGATTTCCACAATCAATTCTCAGAATTTCATTAGGTATTTTCAGCTCCAGTCTACACATTTTCTGGCTCTTCTTTGACTGTTTTACATGCTACCAAATATACCAATTGAAGAGTAGAATTTTCTGTTACCGAATGTAGGGAATCTAGAACTTCATGAATTAATCATTTGAACTGACTCAGGATACTCAGGTGTTGCAAATGATGAAAGTGCTTGTCTATTAATCCAAAAGTTGGAAGTCAGAGTGTACCCAGAAGTGCCTCAGAAGAAAGACCTGGAGATTTGCATCCAACAAACCAGCCATTCAAAACCCAACGGAGCACAAAGCTTTGCTGACACACTGCAAGTTGGAGTCACCTTGACAACAGTGGATAATCTTTTAATCCACCAAAACGTTGGCTTTCCTAGAATTGTTTCACGGTGGTTAAGCACTTGGTTGCTCACTGGTTTTAGCAGTTCAAACCCACCAGCAGCTCCATAGGAGAAAAGTATGGCAGTCTATTTCTGTGAAAATCACAACCTCGGGAAGCCCATGGGGCAGTTGTACTCTGCCTACTGGGTTTCTATGAGATGGAGAGACTCAAAAGTGGGAGAATGGTTAGCAAATAAGAAGAAACAGCTAACCAAGCGTGTACCAAGTTGAAAGGAAATCCAAGAAAGTGAACAGGTGACAGAGGTTGGACAGAAGGACAATGGCTGAAGACTTACTGCTGTCTTATATTCACTCTGATTAAGTATTTAGTGGAAAAGGTGTGCTTGAAATGCTGGCATGTGTCAGTCTTTCTTACAAGGGTAAGGAAATTGCTTCTCCGGGGAATCCTGGACTATATAATGCCACCCTCTGCTGTGATGTAAGACTCAGTAACCAACTTTTACCCTTCAAAATTCTCTCCACTGGTAGAAATTTCATTCTAGGAGAATCTAGTTAATTAACTATGAGGTTGTATGTGTGTGTGTGTGTATATATATATTATATATATACATACATACATATATATAATACATGTAAATATATTATATATATACACAATGTAAATGTTTTATATATATAGTATATCTACAGTGGAAGACAAAGACTTTGTCTCAGATTCCATTCTAAACAAAGCACAAAGAAAAACAACCACCACCAACATTTACGGACAAATACCAATGTCTAAAGAAATAACCTATTTTTCAAAACACAAATTCAGTTCTAACTGAACCATCCCATTTCATTACAAATTCCAACCCTGGAAACTCCAAAGCTTCTCAGAAGGCACTCTCCTTTCTGCTGAGAAATCTCTAGGTGAGCTCAAACTTCCAACCTTTTGGTTAAGACTCTTGCTTTCCATGTGGGAGTCCCAGGTTCAGTCCCTGGCCAGTGTACGTCACACAGTCATCCCCAGTCTGTCAGCGGAGGCATGTGTGTTGCTGTGATGCCAAGCAACTTTTGGTAAAGCTTCCAGACTAGCACCGACTGGGAAGGAAAAACTGATGCCCTAGTTCTGAAACTCAGTCAGGAAAACTCAATGGATCACAGCAGTCTATTCTGAGCGGCATTTTCTTCCATGATCAGAGGATACAAGAGGAAAGCACAGCAACAATCAAGCATAACAAGATGGAAGCTAATCAATCACTTAGAAAGTGAAATACCAACTTTCCCACCTTCGCGTGTCAACCTTCCCTTCCCTTAGAAAATGAAGGGCACCTTGGACTCATCTAGAATTAAATAATCAACTGCTGGATTTTGACTACACCCAGAATTTGGAAATCAAGACTTGAAAGGCAAACAACCTTTCATAAAAAAATGAGATTAAAACCCCGTCACAGAAAATAATGGTAAAAAAACCTCCATTCAAATGAATTATTTCAATGCTTAACAAGCTTGTGTGAGAATAAAAGCCAAGGTTGAGACACTATGAGTCTTCCTCAGAGCACAAGCTCAAACGTCTGATCCTTTGGCTGTGTGACAAAACATGGAACCAAGCCCTAAGGTGACCCATTACTGAACTCCCAATGCAAAGACCCAATGTTTGTTGCTTTTGCTTTTCTCCTCCCTCCAGATAAGACATGCATACTTTAGAGCCAACCAAACAACAGACAATGAGTCATACAGGAGTCTAAGTGCCGGTTTTGGAAATATTTCTTAGTTTATGTTTCCTTGATTATCAAAATCCCATTCAATGAAAGTTAATTGAAGGAATAAGGAATGAAGAGTTAATTCAAGAAATAAGCAAACAGAAGAGTTGTCTAAATTCATCCAAATAGCTGATCTGCTGCTTATGCAGGGCATTTTTCACTTTTAAGAAATCCTACTAGAACTCGAGAGATGTTCCTCTTTACTGTGACTGTCCCACAAGTACCTCCCACCTCATCCCAAAGGTGGATCACTATGAAGGTCAAGGAGTGAATCTCTGCAATGCTGTCTGGAGGCCCTTGGCTACAAAGCACCATGTGAGGACAGTATATTTTATTCCTGAAATAAGACACGGCTTGCAGATTACGCTGATTTGCTGCTATTTGCTTTGTGGTTTCCCAAGTGGAACACAACATTTTTGCATGGTCTCACTGCGAAGGCCTTTTCAGGTCAAAACACTCCAATCACTTGACTCCTCCTCCTTCATAGGGTGTTGAGTGTGACTCTATTTCAATCAGAAGAAATCTCCAGAAAGAATAAAATACGTTTGCTATCAGAACTTTCTGTTAATCATAATGGTATTTGGCACAAGGAGAAGCCCTAGTGGTGCAGTTGCGTAAGCACCAGACTGCTAACAACATGGTCAGTGGTTTGAACCCATCAGCTGCTCAGAGGGAGATGTGGTAGTTACATAATCTGGTGTCAATTTGGGACTTGAGAGGATTAAGAGTGAAGGGGTGGAGTCTAGTCTGCCAATCGAGTCATAGCCAATGAGGCCTCTGTGTGGGCATGGCTTTCTCCAGAGGATTCTGGGAACTCCGGTATTTCCTCTTTGGAGGCACAAGACTCTCTCTCTTGGCTCTCAGTCCCTGTGAGACATTTCTGAGAAGAAGCCACATGACGCTACCCTGAGGTAGTAGAGTTTTGGAACTGAAGGAACCACGTGGCGACCCCTGCCAGCACTGAGATGCTTACAATGCCACTGGATCCACAAGACCACCCACCCACTGGCCTGTGATCTTCCTGCACTTGACATCATTGCATGTGTTTCATAAGTCTGAAGAGGACTTTATAGATTGATATCGGACATATGGGCTAATATTGGACTTATGGACTTGATCTGGACTGGGCTGGGGTGCTTTCTCAATATCCAATTGCTCTTGTATATAAACCTCTTTCTTATACACATATGAGAATCTCTATAGATTTGTTTCTCTAGCCTACCCAGACTAACACAGGAGAAAGGTGGGGGCAGTCTTCTGCTGTAAAGATGTACCCTCTTCTGTTCTACTCTGCCCTACAGGGTCCGTAGGGGTCAGAATCCTTGCCACTGATTTGTTTGGTAGAGGAACTCTTGTGGCACAATTGCTAAGTACTGGAGATGCTAACCAAAAGGTTGGTCTTTCAAACGTACCGAGGGGCTGTCTGAGAGGAAGCCCTGGCCATTTGCTTCTGCAGAGATACAGCAAGAAAAAAACCTGTGGGGCACTTCTGCTCTTGTCACCTCGAGTCCCTGTGCATTGGAATGGACTCAGTGGCCCCAATAACCATGAGAGCATTTGGCTCAAAGTAATAACAAGTAAGCACTAGGAGAAGTGATCAAATTCAAACCAAATGCACATTTATAGTTATTTATTGGTTATTATGCTATAATATGGTGTATTGCCTTGAACATGTATTGATTTTTTTTTAACTAGCCCTGCATATTTGGTTCATGTGTAGTGCCAGAAAGTCTTCTGAATTTTGCTGGCACTGGAATGTGCTAGATGACCATACAAAAAGATTTCTGAATCTTAGGCAACATAATTATACCACATACAATACAAGTAAGCAATAGTTCTCATCTTGCTTCCATTCAAATGCGCATCCATGTAAATACTGTGAAAAGAATTTAATAGTGCAGCGGAAAAGCTGCAAACACACCGGGGCAGTATTTTCCTGCTGATTACACCACAATATACAGTAACAAACAATAGGAGGACAAAAAAAGGCTAAGAGCTAACTACAATAACATTGAATTATTTTTGTTTTGTTTTAAGAACAAGGATCTAAAGTAAAATCTGTCATTAGGTGATCAACAGAAGAAGAAGAAAATTCCCCTGAATAGCTAAAGACAATATTGTCCCTTGCATGCACGGAGAGTGGTGAGTAAACCTTCACCACCTTCATCGACAGAGATTCTCCTTGCATTTTATGTGCACTGAGGTGAGATTTGGAAGTATGCCCGCATCAAGACATTACCAGGTGAACTGCACTCCAGTTTGGTTTCCCCCATTTTTATCCCCTTAGTCCTGATGTTCATATTTTTGCTCCATAAGCATTTCTTTTTCAAAGACTTGCTCTCCTAACTGCCAAGAACCTTCATTATTAACTCTCATGCTCATGATTGACCAGCCAGAATATTTGCTTATGCAAGTGATACATATTTGTGTGACTGTGACCTTATACTTGTGTTTGTGTATGTATGCCCCACATGCACACTCACAGACACAATTTCTTCAAGTGACTATGCAAATCTGTTTCCTTTTGAATTAAATGGCAGCTCACCTTTGGCACATTTAGCCAGTTCCAGTCCCCTTACCCTCTGCACCACGACATGCGGAGCACCAGCTCCCACAGGCATTTAGAGGCAACATGTGGCCTCTGTGATACAGCTGGCTAGGTGGTGTTTATTTACATACTGAGCATATTCTTTGCATCTTATCAGATTATCACATTTTTTCATGCTTTGAGGTGTCATCTTGTTTATGAATTTCTTTACCCCCAGCTCTGCCTCTGCTTCACTGCCCGGCCCTAGCCTTATAAGCTGCACCATCTGAGTGACTTTCTGTTGAGGTTACATACCTTCATTTTTTTCCTTTGTACTGAATGTAAGCAATCAACCATGCCTGTAGCCTGATGAAAACAATTATTGCTCTCAAGAGTTATGGTTTGCCTTTGGAATGTCGGTGAATAATTCTACACAGTTCCTCGGTAGACATGGTATTTCCATAGACCAAACCCAAGGAAAACCACTGCCATGAAGTTGGTTCTGACTCAGAGTGGCCCCACACAGGGAGTCCAAGGCTGTGTAAATCTCTCCAGGTGATGACAGCCTCAATGTCCTCCTGAGAAGGAACTGGTGAGTTTGAACCACCAAACTGGGCATTAGTAGTCCACTGCTTTCTCAGCAGCATCACCAGTTTTGATACATAGGGAATGACAAACAGCAACTATTGGTTCATAATAATGAACTAAAGAGAGAAGGACAGCTCTAGAGACATCACAGAACCCGTAGAGCCAGGCTTCCCCATGACTTCCGAAAGTGGCATACAAAATATTGCCCAGAGAGGAACTTCTCACACCTGAATATGCACATAAATCAATGTGCATGAATCACATGGGGGATCTTGTAGAGATACAGACAGAATCAGTAGGCCTGAGTGGGGTTGGACATTCTGTATTTCTAATAAGTTCCCTGATGACGCTGATGTTGATCATCTATGAATAGAAAGGAGCTAGTACATTTCCATTACTCCCTAGTGGTGTAAATGGTTAATGTCCTCCAATGCTAACCAAAAGGTTGATGGTTTGAGTCCACTCAGAAGAAGAAAGATCTGTCAATCTTACTTCCCCCCAAAATTGGCCTTTGAAAATGCTATTCTGACCCACTGGGGGTCACCCTGCTATTCTGACCCACTGGGGGTCACCCTGCGTCAGAGTCCAGTTGGTTTAGCTAGTGCAGGCCAATCGTCATGAAAACGATTCAGGGTGAACAGAAGCACACCTCTCTATATGTATAGGTTTCCACAGTTATGAATTCCTGATGAAATACATTTTACTCTGCACAATTCAGCTTGCTGAAGAAGAGGTGACAACGGAATTATTCTCTTCTTGGGAGGATGAATTTCCTTGCGGCCCTTCTCTGGTATTATCGCTCGGCCATCGGTATGCATAACATTTTCTCTACTTGAAAATAAAGTTAAAAGGTATGTTGTAAAGCAACAATATAAGTGAATACTGAACCAAATTTCAAACCTTGGTTAGGAGGTCTCTGACTATTGGATTAAATAAATAACTTATATTATAGTTGCTATTTTTGGCTAGAAATGCATTTCCACCCACGCCCCCACCCTCCCTAATCTCAGCTTGTCTAAAAACGGTCTGTCCATCCAGAAAGGCATTATGTAAATTGCTCAACATCAAGTCTTCTAGATGTAGCCCCATGTCCAATATTCTGCGGACATCCCCAGCCTCCCCCATCGAATGTGGCAATGCTTGTTAGGCACCAGATCCAAGGAAAAGAGTGGCTTCGTACATCTGGGCAATGTTTTTGGAGCGTGTTCACACATTCTCATGTTCCCTGGGAGCCTGGACGGAGTGCTGCTGGGAGCCGGCCGACAGGGGCACTCCGACAGGAGGTCAGACATTGCTCTGCTGTAGTAGAAGGGACCTCAGCTCTCGCTCTCTCTGATCCTCCTGCCTGTACTTCTCCTCCAGCTTCTGTTTCTCTGAATCCGCACAGTAGAAGGTGCAGTCTGGGCTCTTCCGGATCTGTTCGAACTGACTGAAATCAGCCACGTACTTGCCGTTTTTGGAGAGCGACACCACGGGCACAAACTCAAACCCCCAGTAGATCTCCTCGGGGACGTACGATGTCCGGCTCTGGCAGACCGCGCTGGTGGATTCGACTGTGGCGTTAAGGAGAACCACCAGTTCAAACTCTTTGTCTTTGAGGTTTTGGGGCGTGAGGTCTCTCAAGGGGCTCGTCTCATCCAGCACATGGTAGAAGGTCATGGGCAGAATGAGGAAGGGGCTCTCGGAAGAGGAATCCACGTGGAACTTGACGGTAGCCTGGTTGAGGAGAATCCGCTCGCCCTCCTTGGTGATGTGCGTCTGCAGGAGCTTGCCCGACAGCTGGCACTGGATCAGGAGGCTCTTCCTCATGTTGGCCACCTGGATCACCAAGCACAGCTTCCCGTTCTGCTTGGTGATGACGGCGCAGTGGCTGAACTTGATGGTTTCAGCTCGCTTTTTGGGTCTTGCGATTTTGGCCAGAAAGGTGCCCGTGATGAAGATCTCAATCAAGGTTGTGATGACTAGCTGAGCCACCAGCAGGAAAATGGCATGTGGGCATTCCTCAGTGATGGATCGGACTCCGTAGCCAATGGTGGTCTGGGACTCCAGCGAAAAGAGGAACGCCCCCGTTAAAGAGTCCACTTTCAAGATGCAGGGCGTGTGATTGGACGCTTGCAGCCTGGGCTCCAGGTCCCCATGAATGAACGCGATGCCGTAGTAGATCACTCCGAAAAGGAACCAAGTCATTACAAAAGTGGCAGCGAACAGAGTGAGCTTGTATCGCCATTTCATGTCAATAACAGTTGTCCACAAGTCCTGCAGATAGAGGAGGTATATGCCATCCACTTTGTCAAGTCTCACGTTGCTGTGGCCACTTTTGGACATGACTCGGGGTCTGCTGGTCTTGAGTTCAGCTCCGGCAGTGTGTTTCACCAGAGGAGCACTGGACATAATGTTGATGGGGTCCATGGCCAGGTTCTTGGGACCACCTAAGGAAAGGACACAGAAAGGCATTTCATTACCATCCAATGTTGGTGAGTGTCTAGAAAATAGCAATAGAATAACTGATGGGACATAAATGTCAATAGATGGATAGGCCCACTTTTAAGAGAAAAAAAGAGACAGACCTCCCAGAATGCTGAAAGTAATTGATTTGTGCTCCAGGTTGGCAGTAGGGTACAATAATGTCAGAATCACTAAAAAAACACAAACCCACAGTCATCCCATTGATCCTGACTCATGGCCGACCTATAAAGCAGCATAGAGCTGTTCCTTTGGGTTTCTGAGACAGTAATTTTTTTTCTTTTTAAAATCATTTTATTGGGGACTCATACAATCCATCCGTCCGTCCATCTATCCATCCATCCATCCATTGTGTCAAGCACATTTGTACTATCATCATTCTCAAAACATTTTCTTTCTACTTGTTGCCATCATCATTCTCAAAACATTTTCTTTCTACTTGAGCCCTTGGTATCAGCTCCTCATTTTCCCCCTCCCACCCTGCCCCCACACTCACAAACCCTTGATAATTTACAAATTATTATTATATGTCATGTCTTACACTGCCCGATGTCTCCCTTCACCTACTTTTCTGTTGTCCATCCCCCAGGAAGGAACTTATGTGTAGATATTTGTAATCAGTTCCCCCTTTCCAACCGACCTTCCCCTTCCCCTCCTGCTATCCTACTCTCATTATTGGTCTTGAGGGGTTTATCTGTCCTGGATTCCCTGTGTTTCCAGTTCTTGTCTGTACCAGTGTACATCCTCTGGTATAGCTGGATTTGTAAGGTAGAATTGGGATCATGATAGTGGTGGGGGAGGAAGAAATAAAGAACCAGAGGAAAGTTGTATGTTTCACTGCACATCTCCGCCCCACAATCCTTCTATAAGGGGATATCCAGTTGCCTATAGATGGGCTTTGGGTCTCCACTCTGCATTACCCCTCATTCACAATGATATGATTTTTGTACTTTGATGGTTAATACCTGATCCCACCAACACTTCGTTATCACACCGGCTGGTGTGCTTCTTCCATGTGGGCTTTGTTGCTTCTGAGCTAGATGGCCGCTTGTTTACCTTCAAACCTTTAAGACCCAAGATGCTATATCTTTTGATAGCTGGGCACCATCAGCATTCTTCACCACTGTTGCTTTGAGACAGTACATTTTTGTGGGAGGGGATAGTCTCATTTTTCTCTTGAGGAGAATCTGATGGGTCTGAACTCCTGATCTTTCCATTAGCAGCCTACTTAACTCACTGTAATATCAGAGTTTCTTAGGAGGCACACATGGTTAACATAACATACTTGGCTGCTAACTGAACGATTGAGTCTACCTAGAGGCACTTCAGAAGAAAGACCTGGTGATGTTGTTTGATAAACATCCACCCTTAAAAATCCTGTGGAACACACTTCTACTCTGACACACGTGGAGTTGCCACATGTTGATTCTGACACGGCAGTGACTGGTGGATGTTGGAGGATAGCAGACCCAGGTTTGAATGCTGACTCTGGAGTTTGTTAGCTGTGACCCCTGGGAGAGCTAGTTAACCACCCTGGGCCTTGCCTCCCTAATCTGTAAAACAGGAAGAGAAAGTACTTCTCAGGATAGTGGTTCCCCGTTGGGCTGCGAACCACAAGGTCAGCAGTTGAAACCACCAGCCACTCTGGGACAAGACCAGGCTTTCTCCTCCTGTCAAGAGGGACAGTCTCAGAAACCCACAGGGGCAGTTCCACCCTGTCCTCTTGGGTCATTATGAGTTAGCATCGACTCCGTGGTTTCTGTTTACTAAATTACATTGTGAATATGAAGTGTCAATAGCATGCCTCATAACCAAAATGACATGATAAACAACATGTACTTGTATTCATGAATCTCCCATGGACTACTTATTACAGAGAGTTAGAAATAAGCACCTATACAAAGCACTTGTGTTGAGAGTGCCACAATCTATCACCCAGAAGAAAATCATTGATAGAGCACTCTTAATACCATCTAAAAAGAAACAACTTCCAGTAATTTAATAAAACAAATTTGCCCATTCACATGACATGCTCTGTAATAGCAATTCACCTGGCCCCTAATCCGACCCACAATCTAGACCCCATGGCCTCGCTTTTGCAGAGGGGGAAACAGACCCAGACACATCGATCAAACAAACAACAACATTCTTAGAGGGAATCACTAAGCTTTATGAAAGATCCTAAAGCTTTTGATCCACACGCTAGTCATTCTTAGAAAAGTACTACCGTGATACCAGAGATATTTAGGTATGACAATATCCATGCACAGGCATTCTGCCTTGCTTCTTTAGAACTAAGTAGAGCCAGCATGAGGAATCTGTCTTAAAGAACAAGCGCAAAAGTAGAAGGAGACATCTACCACCATTGCAGAAAAGACATACCCAGAGAGGCTCAGAGTCCCACGTTCAGGCCCAGGGAACGCTCTGTTTGTTCTATCAGACAGGAACAACCTGGCTGTGGGTGACAAGACATCCTATAGGGCTTGCCTGATAACGATTAATCGCCCCTACGTTCCTTGAACATAGATCATTTGAGTAGATTAAGGGGTAACTCTACCTGGCTGGCATTTTTTCCTCACCTCTTTGACATTTTATGGATGAAAGAAATTCCCCTCCCACCCTCTAGCTGTGGACAGAAACTGGCACCAGAGGCCTGTGATTCATGTAAGAGAGCTGCATTGTCCCAGCCAAAGTTTTGAAAGCGATTCCCTGGGTCATCCTGCTCAAAGTGGGGAGGAAGCCGAAAGGGTTCCCGTGGGGGACAGACACCCTTCTAGGATGCGGCAGATCTGTTGGGAATGTTCATTTTCCTGTTATATTATTAGAAGTGTGTTGCTTAACAAATGCCCCTCCTCCCGTGACATGTTTTTTTATTCCCCCCCTCCTTCAAAAGGAAAGTAATTTTTTCATGTGTATCACAAACGGGGCCTTACACTCTTCAATAATTCTTTGATTTGGAGAGGTCCAGACCACTGAAGGAAACTGCAGGATAAAGCTGATGAACCCCCTTGAGCCTTTTCCTCCCCACCTTCAGGAACCCTGCTCAGTAGCTACCCAGAAAGGGACAGCAGTGGAAAGGTGGAAACAAACACTCTCCTGGAGAATGCACAGCCATGCTGGGAACCCCAGCCCTGCCCGAGACAGATGCAGCTTAGGTACAAGTAACTGCACGCCACTGCTTTTTGTTTGGTTTAAGGAAGCTTCTAGGGGAAAGTGCATGCCATTCAATCCACTGAAATAAAAACAAAAGCTTAAGTTGTTGAGTCTGATACCCAAGTACCCTGTGGGCACAAGCAAAAATCCAAGCTCAGCCTTCTGCCAGGTTCTGGAAAACGTGGCCCTGTTTACATAAAGGCTGTGGCATGGAGCTTCTGTTTGAATCCCCTTTTCCAAGGGGCAGTGGGCCAGACTTGGGATAGGGCTTGGGATTTTTGTCTCGGCCAAAATATCCTTTGCAGGACGCCCTCCCTGGGTGTGCAAATGGTTAACACTCTTGCCCACTAACCGAACCATTGTAGATTTGAGTGTATCCAGAGGTGCCTTTGGGAAAAACAAGCTCAGTGATCAACTTTTGAGAAACGCCAGCTACAGGCCACGCTGACACACAGGGGGTTGCCAAGAGTCAGCATGGGCTGGATGGCATCTGGCTTTACCTGGTTAGCATTTGCAGCTGATGTCACCCGTCGCACCTCCTTTCAAGGCTTGGTGGTTTTACACACATCGGGGGACAAACCTGAGGGTTCCCTGATCCTTGGGTTTCAATATCTCTCTCTGGAAAGCAGGACAACCGGTGGGCAGTCCTCATGCGTGCTCTTGGCCTGCCCTGTCCTTCTCCCACCCACTCACTGCCCTGCGCCCTCGGGGTTTGTACTACCTGGTCTGTCACTCAGCAGGTCAGCAGGTGTCTTCCTTAAGGCAGGTGGAATGTCCTCGGTCCCCGTCACCCACCTGGCTACCATGGGCTTCCGCTACTGCCTGAAAGAAAGAGGGACATGCGTGTCCATAAGTGTTTAGTGAGCGCATCTCTAGGAAACTAGCCGGTAGCTATCCGTCTGACGGCAGCACTGACCTTCCACCCCCCACCCCCGGCCTTCAAGTGGTTTCTGACTCATAGCGACCCTGTCCCTCTCCCTGACAATCTGGCGCGGTGAACAGAACAAAGGCTCCATGAAGGTTTTAAGAATTAAACGGAGCCCCCCCACCCCCACCCCAGCTCTCACTCTAGATTTCCAAGGGAGCGCAATCGTAAGGGCCGCTGGAAAGAGTGGGATCCCCCACCCCCATTGAGACCAGCCCTCGGGGAGGCAGGAAGGGGAAGCGCAGAGGAAGTCAACAGTGGCAACTGGAGGGGAAGAGTTTGGAATATTTTTACCGCCTGTGGAAATGCGTTGTTAAGGTTGCTTCTCAGAGGGCTCGAGTTGAAAGGACTGTCAGAACCATCTGCACGGACACCCGTTTTACAGAAGCGGGGGCTGAGTTGGGAGTGCCGGTATCACAGAGCACAAAGAAAGACGAAGGGTCTGAAAGCTAGGGTCCTTGACAGGGTGCCACAAGGTCCCCCCTCAAGCCTCCAAGGGGTGATGCAAGGTCTTTGGCATCCTATTTTTCTGAAACACTTCTCCTTTAAGTAAGAAACATTTATATTTATAGAATGTATATGCTGATGTATACACACTCATGTGTATATATGTTTTATGTATGCATACACACCGTCATTGTTGCTAAAGCACACAACATGTTCTGTGAAATAGGACGTGTGTGATTTGGACATTGGGTAAGCTCCCTATTAAAACCTTTGAGGAACCTGCTGCTGCTGGAGCCGCTGCTGGCGAACCCTAGAGGAACCAGGGGCGGCAGCTTGAAGGTGGCTGGGGGCAGGGAGGAGGAAACACCGAGCCGCACACCCAAAGCCATGCCTCTGCCTTAACCTCCCTGTACCCCATCCCCGGTCTACTGCTGAAAGGGTCTGGGTTTGGGGTCTAAACAATCATGAGGGAAGAATAATAAAAGATCTACTTCCGCAAAAAAACAAAAACAAAACGTTGATGGGACTGGATGTGTATGTGGCCAGCTATTGCCTGAATGGGATGTTAAGAGACATGTGCTTTGTAAACGCACGTGCACACACACAACCACACACACAATATCTCTCTCTCTCTCTCACACACACACACACACACATGCACACACACAAATCACACACACACAATCTCTCTCTCTCTCTCTCTCTCTCTCACACACACACACACACACATGCACACACACAAATCACACACACACAATCTCTCTCTCTCTCTCTCTCTCTCTCTCTCTCTCTCGCGCGCGCGCGCACACACACACACACACACACACAGTTTTCCTCGGACTACACTAATTACCACACACACACACAATCACACGCACACAATCACACTCACAATCACACACATGATCACACTCACACTCACACACAAAATCACACACACAATCACACACAACCACATACGCACACACACAAATACACACGCACACGTTTCCTCGGTCCACGTTAACTAGCCCCCCACCCCACCCCCACACACACCGGGCAGCCTGAAATCATAGACATGCGTTCTCTCACAGTTCTGGAGGCTAGGGGTCCGAATGCGGGCTGTCCACAGGGCCATGGGAAGAAACCTCTTTTGCTGCTCTTGGCTTCTGGCTGCCCCAGGCGTGTGCTCCTCAGCATCTAGCTCATCTGGCTGTCTTCTCCCTGCCGCTGTCTGTTTGTTCTCCTGTTTTACGGGGCAGCACTAAAATGGGAGTAGGACCCACCCTCGTCTGGTATGACTTCTCGTTAACTGATAACCTCTTCAAAGACCCTGTTTCTAAACATGCTCGGGCTGTCAGGTCCCAGGCTTAGAACTTCGACATCTTCTGGGAGGACACAATTCAATAACCACACTCTTCCTACCCGTGTTTCTGACCCACCGTCACCTGCAGAATTGGCTCTTTTATAGCCAAAGTGAAAACCGTTTAAGCGGTGCTGAAGATGACCCGGTACGGCACGCATCCTCACGGTGCCCTCCCCCTGGCTGGTCAGACCCAGCACCTCCTTCCAGTCTTCCGGGGATGTTATTATCGATGCTGCACTCCAGGGGATTAGTTCGTAATAGTTCATTCATCAGAAGGCTTCTATTGTGAAATTTACTCTTGGCGGACACACAAATATGTCATATCATTTTATATAGACTGCCTTAATTTTATTTCTTTTTTCCTCCTTAGTGATCCTGCAACCCACCTGGATGGATTTCTAAAATGGTAAGAGACAATAACATCAAAAGATAATGATGTAAAACTATAGTAAAGAGCAGTCAATCCACAGAGAAGACCACATGGCTGGCCCCACTATGAGACATGACATCCCTCACTGACCCACAGCCTAGAGGGGACAGCACTGGAGACACAGTGTGGGAATTCCACCTGATCTGATCCCACCACACCGAGGCAAAACACTAAGGGTGTGGAACAGAATAGCAAGGGGAGCAGAGCAACGAAGTCCCCAGGGAATACCAAAAATAGACTTTGGGACCAGGGCTTGGTGCCCCAATAGACTTGACCAGAAAATATGCCTAAATGCCAACAAACAGTCCTTGAACTAACTACAAGCTTTTCTTTCTTGTTGTTGGGTTTTGTTTTGTTTGTTTTTTGTCATTGGCTTATTGGTATTGTTGTTTTGTTTTATTTTGTTGCTTGGTTTTGCTCTGTCTTGTTTTTGTGCATGTTATTATCTCCACAGGTCTGTCTAAATAAGATAGGCTGGATAAACAATCTAGAGGAGAAAACAGTGGGACCGACAGTTCCGGGGGCACAAGGGACAGGGGGAAGTGGGGGGGAAAGGTAGTGGTATTAACAAACCCATGGACAAGGTAACAACAAGTGATCCAAATCAGGGGTAAGGAGGGTATAGGAGGCTTGGTAGGGCCTGACCAAGGATAATGTAACTGAGAGGAATTACTGAAACCCTAATGAAGGCTGAACATGATAGTGGGACAAGAAGAAAGTCAAAGGAAATAGAGGAAAGAGCTAGGAGGTAAAGGGCAGTTATAAAGGTCTAAATAAAGGCATGTACATATGTAAATATATTTATATATGAGGATGTGGAAATAGATCTATGGGCATATATGTATAGATTTAGTATTAAGGTAGCAGACGGGCCTCCACTCAAGTACTCCCTCAATGCAAGAATACCTTGTTCTATAAACTGGCATTCCATGATGATCCTGACACAATCACTAAAGACAAAGCAGGTGCATAAGCAAATGTGGCAAAGAAAGCTGATGGTGCCCGGCTATCAAAAGATATAGCTTCTGGGGTCTTAAAGGCTTGAAGGTAAACAAGTGGCCATCTAGCTCAGAAGCATCAAAGCCCACATGGAAGAAGCACACCGGCCTGTGCGATCATGAGGTGTCGAAGGGATCAGGTATCAGGCATCAAAGACCCAGAACAAAAAATCATATCATAGTGAATGAGGAGGAGTGTGGAGTGGAGGCCCAAAGTCCATCTGTAGGCAATTGGAAATCCCTTTCTTAAAGGGTTGGTGGGAGGAGACGAGCCAGTCAGGGTGCAGTGTAGCAACGATGAAACATACAATTCTCCTCTAGTTCCTAAATGCTTCCTCCCCACCCATTATGATGATCCCAATTCTACATTACAAATCTGGCTAGACTAGAGGATGTACACTGGTACAGAGAGAAACTAGAAACACAGGGAATCCAAGGCAGATGATCCCTTCAGGACCAATGGTGAGAGTGGCGATACTGGGAGGGCGGAGGGAGGGTGGGGTAGAAATGGTGGGGAACCGATTACAGGGATCTACATATAACCTCCTCCCTGGGGGATGGAAAACAGAAAAATGTGTGAGGGGAAAGATCAGACAGTGCAAGATATGACAAAATAATAATTTATAAATTATCAAGGGTTCATGAGGGAGGTGGGGACGGGGAGGGAGAGGAAAAATGAGGAGCTGATGCCAGGGGCTTAAGTGGAGAGCACATGTTTTGAGAATGATCAGGGCAATGAATGTACAAATGTGCTTCACACAATTGATGTCTGTATGGATTGTCATAAGAGTTGTATGAGCCCCTAATAAAATGATTAAAACAAACTATAGCGAACTAGCATTATTTTCTAACTATGCTGTCCCAGTGCTATAGGTACAAGGAGGCCTAGAGGCACAATGATTAAGCACCAAGCTGCCCGAAAGGTCGGCATTTTGAACCCAGTAGAAGAGATGTAGTGCGTGGTGCCCGGGAAGTTCACGGCCTAGGGGACCCTCTGCGGCAGTTCTTCACTGGACCTAGTGGCACACAACCACCACACCCGTTTGTAGAAGCCGTCCAGGGATAGGATGCTTTTTCATCTTTTGCAGTAGGGTCTCAACCTGTTGGCGGGTTTGTGTACTCCTGAGAATGGCTCAATCTCCACTGAGGAGCTGTTTCTGGCCATCATGAAAGGGAGCAGGCCACTTTCACCTCCTTCTTTGAGCCACTCACAATTTATGCTACGTGGCCTTTGTTTTCTGGACAGAACGGAGAGAAAATAAACCCATTTTTAAAACATAACTGAGCAGAGGGCGCACTTAAGAAAGTGCTCAGTTAGTTGGACGACACCTCCGGTGTCAGGAACACAATGAGAATGGGAAAGCTGGGAAGGAGTTTCCCACCATCATCCTCAGGGATTCTGTCAAAGTAAGAGACTCTTGCAAGGGAGGGTGATCACAGAAGCCAACCGCCGGGAGCTGGAATCAAGTGTTCTGTTAGAAAGACTTCTACTAATAAACAGCCAGAAGCCAGTGAGAAGGCATCTATGCAAATCTTAAGGCAGAATAGGGCCAGAAGGAGTTCAACGTAGGACTAGTACTTGCAAATAGCAACAATAATGACTGAGATAAATGATAACAATGATGATGATGATGATGATGAGAACTAGACAATGGTACCAGGCACTGCTCGAAGAAC